CTGCGTGCCACCCCCAAGGGACTGAGGCAGTTCAAACCAGCACGTCCCAGGCTGGGTCGTGCCCGTGTTTGTCAAGCTGTGTGCACACAGTGCCGGGTGAAGCTCCCAGTATCCCCATTTGCATGTTTCAGTAAGCGTGCAAGATGGGGCTCGCCCGTCTCTCAGGATTTTAAGGAGACGCTCTCCATCTGTCTTGCTTTCAACGCAGGTGCATGCAGCTGAAGAAACTGGTAGATGAGAATGCAAATGCTCTTCGTGATTTGAAAAAAGTAAGTATGGAGACAAAATTCTTAATGGTTTTCTCCAAAATGCATCAGGGTGAGTGTTTAGAGAACACCAGCCTCCTTTGATTTTAGGTGCCCGGGGACAAGAGCGATGCCCAGCGCTACACAGCCCCCAGCTGGGATCTCTGAGATCCATTTTTAATATTTAAAAATCTATCTTTAATGCTTTATTGCATACGAATTCTGCGCTTAAAATCGTTATCAACCCAGTACATCACAAAATGTTTATCAACCCAATGCACTGTGTTGGAAGCGGAGAACGCGGATTTGAAATTTAACACGGAATTTCGCAGTGGCAGAGGAAAAGGACAAGAAAGATTTCACTACCCAGGGAGGGACAGCAGCCTAGGAAGGTGAAAGCTCGTAAGACGTGTCTGGAAAACGTAACTTTATAGGAAAACTTTGGTTCTTTGAGCGATTTGTTGTGTTCTTGTTTCTCAGGCTGATGAGCCTGCGCCGGTGGGGAATTATAATCAGAGGAAAGAAGAAGAAGAAAAGCTATTGCTAAAACTCTGCCAGCAGCTGCAGAAACTTTTCCTTACCTTGGATCAGGATAACGCGACTACGAATTGTGCAGTGTGAGTAGCTTAAATAAATACAATCTGCACTGTAATAGGACAGTTGGAAAGGACCTGAAAAATTGTTATCTCCTCGGCTTTATGGTCTTGCCATACTGCTAAAAAAGAAGTGCTGAAGAGCCAGCTCCTACGGGGCTTGTTTTCTCCACGCAGTCAAGAATGACTCGCTGGAATATCCTGAGGGTGCTGGTTAATGGATGGAATATAATGTGGCTGTTGGGAGGAGAGGGTGCAATGTGGTCTGTATGCTTAGGGAGGAAACACCATTGGGATTTCGGAGTTTTTTTCTAGATGGGGACAGAGAGCCAAACACGGGAATGAAGATGCTGTATCTGGATAACGTCCTTGCAGAGGAGCCTGTATTGCAAGGCTTTACAGCAATTTTGAGGAGTTTCGTTAAGATAATTACAAGTTTGGTTTATTTTGGGTAGGGATAAGGAACAGCAGAAAGATCCTCGAACAGAAGGTGGAAATGGAGAAGAGGATGAGAGTGAAGATGAAGAAAGTAGTGAGGAGGAAGACAGTGAAGAAGCAGATGATGATGATGAGGATAAATTGCTGGATGATCCAAATGTTAAAGAATGTGTTGCAGTTGGGAACTTTAATGCACAGCAGGAAGGGGATCTCACGTTTAGGGTAAATATGAAGTGTTTTGGCTGCAGGTCATGCTGTATTACGCAGTAATGATAATTAAGCCCTGTGCTTTTGGGATTCAGGCGGTTCATTGTGAGATTCAGAGGGAAAAGGCTTTTCCCAGTGTCTGTTTGGCGTGGTGGAGCCCAGAGTCCTTTTGCCTCCTTCTGTGGTGGCGGAGGCTGTTGTGGTAGTCTGTG